GACAAATCCACCCACAAAGTTTTCGACTTGGACAAATCCACCCACAAAGTTTTCGACTTGGACAAATCCACCCACAAAGTTTTCGACTTGGACAAATCCACCCACAAAGTTTTCGACTTTGACAAATCACCTCAAATTTAACATGTGATGTCATTTAACGTCAGCAATCTATTAATTTGACGTCATCTGATGTCAGTAATCCATTAACAAATTAACGAATTGCTAATATCAAATGACGTCACACGTTAAATTTGGGATAATTTGTCCAAGTCAAAAATTTTGTTGGTGGATTTGTCCCCACTTTTTGTTCGGGGGTGGATTCGTCCCTACCACTATACTTTGATGGTGGATTTGGGTATTTTGCCACTTTATTAATTTACATATTTTTTATTTTTAAAGTATTTTATATACATTTTTTATCTCTCAACTTTAAAAAATGCATAACATTTGTCCTTCCGTTACTTAAGCCGTTAACTTCGCTCATGTGGCATTTATTATTATTTTTTTGATGATATGGCGAAAACAACTCAAAAAAGTGATGATTTGGATTTTTTTTTTTTGATGACATGTCCCGCCAACTCATATACCAAATTAAATTAGTATTTATATTTTTAATAAAAAATAAAAATTTACAAATTTACCTTAATACCCCTATCTCCCTTTCTTGATCCATCTTCTTCCCCTCTTTCAATTCATCTTCTTTCTTTCGTTCTTCTTTTTCTTTCTTCCTCTTCTTCCTCTTCTTTCTTCCTCTTCTTCCTCTTCTTTCTTCCTCTTCCTCATCTGTGTTGCTAGGTTCCCTTGAACCCAGTTGATCTGGGTTCAAGGGAACCCAGCTCGGGTTCGATGGAACCCAAATTTGTTGGGTTTGGTGGAACCCAGGCTGGGTTTCGTCAAACACAGAACTCAAATTTGTCAGGTTTGAGGAATCCAACAACTGGGTTCCACCGAACCTAGCTCCATTTTTTTTGTTATATATTTGTTGCAAAGAGTTCATACAAATTGTAGGTTGTGACGGATTTTTGGGATCTGTCTAAATGAGTTTAATGTTCAAAATGGAAAGAACATCGCCGGTGATGGAAAGAACAGAAGCAGTGACCGATGGGCAAATAAGCAATTTTTAGTGGGTTTCCATTTGTTTGGCTAGAAAATTGTACAATTTAGGTGTGTTGGCTGCTGAGAAAATGGTTTCAATCTGTTTTGTTAAGAAAATTTGATGAGTAATTATAGTTTAATGATGATTAATTAGTGAAATCTGTGAAAAATCTTTGGAATTCCAGCAAATGTAGGGTTCGAGTTCGAACTTTAAAGGAGAATCAAATAAGGAAAACACAATAATCCTTTGAGAAAATCTTTGCAATCTTAAAGAAAATTTGAGTTTGGGTTCGAAAAATTTCTTTATTGGTGGTTTTTGCAGGTAATATGAGACCTATTCGAGGGGCATTAGAGGGACTTTTGCGTGAGAATATGACATGTCATTAAAAAAAATCCAAATCATCATCTTTTTGAGTTGTTTTTGCCATATCATCAAAAAAAATAAAAAAAGTCATATGAGTGAAGTTAACTGCTTAAATAACGGAATGACAAATGTTGTGCATTTCTTAGAGTTGAGGAATAAAAAATGTACACAAAATATTTTAGAGACCAAAAATGTAAGGGACCAAAATGAGCATTTAACCTAACTTCAAAGATAAGGAATCCAACCGATAGCAACCAAAAAATCTCGGTTTTCATGTAGTGCAGGTACCGACATAGGCGTTAACCCCAATTGAAAGGCC